CCCTCATCTCTGCATTTGGATTCTTAACCAACCTCCACCCAACCTTGACCCTGATATCCTTAACACTGAACCAAAAGCATTTCTACTGTAACAGTATAAAAACGGGATAATCAAATGGGGAAATTGCACTCTTCTGTTTGTAATATTTGCCTTTCTCACTGACAGGATGAAATGAAGTCTTCTCCTCCATCCTTCAGAGCTGCACCTATCCGGGCCCAGAGCATTGTAACCAGGGAGAAAGACCTCAGCCAGAAGCCTTCCGCCCGGCTGCTGCAGCCCAGTTCCAGCGTCCCCCTTCCCGGCTCCACTCGCCCGTTTCAAGAAAGCCTTCATAAGTCACTTAAATCCCTCCCCACCTGCCAGCAGCCCCTGTCAGCATCTGCCCAGCATACCTGTGCTGCTACCAAACATCACACATCTCTCAACGCACTCCATCATACCTGCCTAAGCAACCCTCACCTCTCTGACTCTGAGCAATACACCCATCCACACTTTGCTCAGCATGCTGTCCACTACAACCGACCCAGTTCAGGACACCACACCTGTCCAGGCTTCCTGCACCATCGGGACTCCGCCATATCTGTCAATCCAGAGGTGGCAGTCAAACTCTCTTCTAGATCAAGCTCCTATGAAAAGTCTTCTGTTTTTTCAAGGTCTGCCTCCTCTTCTAAAGCAGCGTCTCCATTGCCATCACCTCATCCTTCCCCACATCCTTCGCCGTGTCCCTCCCCGTGTCCCTCTCATATGATAGCCGCTGCGCTATCCTGTAGTCCAGACCGGCCCTGCTCTCCTGCTCTCACACACAAGATCATCGTAACAGACATGGACCGACTTTCTGCAGACTGCAGGCAACAGCAGAGAGGTACGCCATGATGGTTACAGTCAAAACATTTGTTCTGTTCAGTCCAGTCTGTTTACATAAAAAGAGACGGCATTTTTAATATTAGGAACATTTAAAAAAAGTATAATCGGTATAGACAGACCCAAACTTAATTACCGATATAATGATTCCATCACAGATAGCAAATTCTGCAACATTCAGATTTCCGTCTTTAATGGTAAAAAAAAAAAATGTGGATCTGGAAGATCCCAGCTGAGATTTAAATAGTTAAATTCTGATATTATTAGGCTAAGATGCCATTAAGTTCAGGATAAGACTAAAGTTCCTGCAACATAAAGACCCTGAAAAAAATTTTGAAACTAAAAAAAAAATTGAAGCCATCTGGAAATGTATCCATTCTAGAACTGAGCAAAACCGAATATTCACTGACCTCCAAATGCGAGAACCGGATCAACAGTCTTTACAAACCAAAATTTGGTGAAAATGTCTTCATGCTGATTTTGCACAGTTTCTACTTTAGTCAGTTAAATAACCTGCTGCTGTCTTTTTGCACATCTCTGATGTTGCTGCTATTTTCAAATATCCATTACTGTAAAAATATCCATAGCTGGATATTGGTTATTTATTCTCCACGTGAACAGTATTTATATTGTTAAAACACTTTACAGTAAAGTATTTTATTTATCTTTTAACTCCTCTTCACTATTTTATAGACTTTTCTAAGGTCCACATTTGTGTGACTATTTTTCTATAATGTTTTTGCTGCTGTAACACCAGAATTTCCCCATTTTGGGACAATAAGGGATTTTCTATTCTATTCTAGTCTGCAGGGTGTTTGATTATGTTTGGTCTTCATTCATTAAAGTTACTAGACATAAACAGGAGAGAGAGAAGTGTTACTGTAGAGCAGTAAAACCATGCTAAAAGTACATTTCTTCAGTCTGAGCCCAAAGTAGCAGAACCCCAGACACAGCTCATAATGACCAAAGCCATCATGAAGAAAGATGTTGAGCCTAGTTTTAGAAGTAGACAGAGTGTTGATCTGGTTCCTGAAGAGAAGGCTGATAAATGAAATGATTTTTAGAAGCACCATGGCACCTACAGTCTCACAACAAAGGGTTCTGTTAGGAACATAAACTACTCTGTATGGCCTTGAAGGCCTTTGGGGCTGAAGCCCAGCATTGCCTGGTCGGAGTCTGGACTGTTTGCTCCCCCTTTTATTACTACATCATCTTTGAATTTTCTGAGAAGACAGTCTACAAGCTCTGCTGTTCATTTATGGAATATTTAAGCATTCTTCCAGGAAACATTTGAGACATCAATACAGATAGAAGACCAGAAGATGTCTTTCGTTCTCTGTTATTATTAATCCCAAGGTGATATTTCGAATTAAAGTCAGGTTCTTCAACATCAGATTCATTCTTTCTGATATGAATGGATTTTGCTTTGCATGATGTTGCTGGTCCATGTTGTAAGTGAACTGGGCTTCCCCCAAACTATTCCCAAAAGAGTCAAAGAGTTCATTAGTCTTCACACAAATTGCTTCATTAAAAGATCTCCTCAGTGACTTTGGAGCTAATAATACTCAGAAAATGTACACAAAAATGTATACCTGTCTGTTACATCTTGTCCTGTAATATACTCAGGGGAGGTATTTAGCATTAGGCAATACTAGGCAGTTGCCCTAGGGCCCCAAGTTCCTGGGGGCCCCATAAAACACTGTTTGCATGTGTGGTTAATACAACTATTCCTTATCTGTGCACAATATTTATGTTTTTGATAAAAAATCCTTTTGCAAAAATGTAATCAGAATGC